AGGAGGTCTTGTACCTTTAAGTCCACAGTAGCTAAAGTTGGGGGACCTATATGTGCTTTAGGGCTCAATAAGGACAACCATGAATCGCTCCAGATATTGATGTTAGCTCCATTACCCACAGTCCATCCTAGACCTTTCTGCAGCAGCTCTCTACCCACAAGGATGCTACGCCAGCCATGTGACGCCACTCTTGGAGTAGAAAACATTCCAGGAAGCTAGAATTGTTGCAATACTTCCCCAACAGGACCTTAGCCAGAATTGAGTCCGGTTGACTGAGAAGTCTCCACCCAATTTTTCCTAGTAAGGCGTCATTGAACTGTTGGACGTCACGAAATCCAAGCCTTCCGGCAAATCTGGGCTGAGTAAGAGTATCCCAAGCCACCCAACACATCTTCTTTTTGTCCGGTTTTTTGTCCCACCAGAACCGGGTAAACACAGACTGGAATTGTTTACAAAGGGATGCGGGAATCTTAAAGCAAGACATTGGGTATATTGGTAAGGCTGTAAGGATTGCTTTGAGAAGAACATGTTTCCCCGCACCGGATAAGAAGCGAGACGACCAGCTGTGAGCTCTTTACCTAATTTTATCAACCAAGGCTGCAAAGATGTCTCGTTTTTTTCGACCAAAATTCTTAGGCAGGCCAAGATAGTTACCAAGACCTCCATCTTGAGTAATATTTAGGGACGTCTTTACTCTGGTTTTTGCTTCGATAGGGGTCTTAGCAGAGAAGGTAATTGTTGACTTAGTGAGGTTTATGCACTGTCCTGATGCTTTCTCATAGGTACTCAAGATTTGTAGGAGAGCCTTGCAACATACGGCACTTGATTTGCAAAAGAACATCGTGTCGTCCGCAAATAGTAGGTGATTGATTGGAGGGCTGCCTCTACTCACTTTTATCCCGGGGAGAAGTCCTTGATCTTGAGCCTTGGTACAGAGCCCGGAGAGAACCTCGGAACAGAGGATGAAAAGGTACGGTGAGAAAGGATCTCCTTGTCTCAAACCACGGGACGGAGTTACATTTCCTTGGGGTAGCCCGTTAATGAGGAATGAATATGACACTGAACTTACACAAGTGAGAATCCATGATATCCATTTCTCGTTAAACCCAAGCTTCCTTAGCACCGGTTTAAGAAATCCCCACTCGATACGGTCATACGCTTTGCTCATATCCGTCTTAACGGCCATAGAACAATATTTCTTTGCTTCCGACGTTCTGAGAAAGTGGAGAATCTCACGAGTGATTAACACATTGTCTGAAATGGCCCGGTTTGGAACAAAGGCGGACTAGAAGGGGGAGATAAGTTGCGGTAGGAGAGGCTGCAGTCTTCTCGTGAGGATCTTGGCGATTATTTTGTAGTGCGTATTACACAAAGCTATTGGCCTGTAGTCTCCCACCTTTCTTGGGGCTGAGATCTTAGGTATTAACCTAACATGGGTCTCATTTTGTCGCGGCTGAAGGTAGCTTGTTTCAAAAAACTCCGGATATCCCGGCAAACATCATCTCCAATAATATTCTAGTACGTTTGATAGAAGCTAGAGGAGAATCCATCTGGTCCAGGCGCCTTTCCAGGATGAATTGAGAACACCGCTGCTTTGATTTCTTCTTTATCCGGAATGGCAGTCAGCTCTTAATTCATAGCCTGCGATACTGAAGAGGAGAGAGTCTCTTCCACCACAAGAAAATCCTCAGTTCCATTGGAGGTAAATAAATTGCTGTAGAAGGAAGCAATTACAGCTGTAATATGTTCCTCTTCAACAAATTCAGTTCCACTGTCATCCTCAATAACAGAGAAAGAGTTAACAGTTCTTCTTGCACGAGTAATTGCGTGGAAGAAAGCGAAGTTCTTGTCTCCCGATTGCAGCCACTGGATTCGACTGTGTTGTCTCCAGAACAATTTTTCATCCTTATAAGCCTTTTCGAGTGTAGCAGAGGAGATTGCGATCAGTTCCTCATCAGGCACATGACTAGAAAGAGCATCATCGAGGGAAAGCTGAGCATCTCTGATGCGTTGGCCACTGTTCTGATGTTGCTCTTTGGTCCACTGAATTAGGTCTCTTCTATAGCGACTGAGCTTTCTAATAACATCTTCGTTATCTTCTTCTTGACCTTTCCAGGAGTTTGTAATCAATTCTCTTATCTCTAGTTTTGTTGCTAGTCTTCTATCGAATCTAAACAACCCTTTTTTTCTCCGGTTTTCATTGTTGAAGAAAGTGACCAGAAGACGATGATATGAGCCCTCAAAACGGAGGTATTTGCATCGGCCATGGGGAAAAGCTTCAGTCCAAGAACAATTAGCCAGCGACCTGTCTAGTCTTGACTTTATGAAGTGGGTATACCGCTTCCCTCTCCAAGAGAGCATCTTGCCTGAGTGCTTCACATCCCATAGTCCACTTTAAGAAACAAAACTGCGAAAGTTGATGAAGGATCCTTCCCAGCAAGGAGGGCCACCAAGCTTTTCAGAGTTTTCAAGGATATCATTAAAATCACCTGTTAGCAACCAAGCAGAATCCCTAAGTACTCCTAGGGTAGTCATTTGTGACCAAAACAGAGCTCTATTTTCCTTTTGGGGAGGTCCATAGATGAAAGTGACAAAAGAGCAAATCTGTTTTACAGTAACTTTTGTGTCAATAAAATTTGTGGAAGAGTCCAACAACTCTAGCGTGATCCCATCCTTCCAGAGCAACGCAAGCCCGCCACTTAAGCCAATTGGCGGGACAGTAAATTGGTTAGTAAAACCTAAGTCTTTCAAAGAGGAGGAAGTGGTCTCATCATCGTTTTTAGTCTACATACATCGATGTAATTCCTTTAGACGTCGAACTGTAAGGTTGCCTCTCAAACCTTGACAGTTCCAGCTCAAAACGAATAAGGGAGAAGGCTTAGTGGGGATTGAAAATCCACCACTTCTTGAGTTGTTACAGGCACTAAGACTGAAGGATCTGTTGCAGGAACAACACTTGTTGTTGGAGTCTCCTCAATTCCGGAGGCAGGTTTAGAAGATTCAGCACAAACGGTAGAAACATATTTAACTCGATCAGAAACATGGGGGACCAACGGTACGACGATTGTCTAACGCTATGGTTCTCCACTCGACCACCGCCATGAACAAGCACACCTTTGACTAGCTTCAAAAAATTTCTTTCTAATCTCTTTGCAATTTCTCTTTCTTTTCTAAACATTCAAAACAATCCGATGCATTTATTTATAACAAAGTTTTTGGTTAAATAAATTTTACATTCAAATAAAAAAAATTTTAGTTATCACCCATCCAACAACAAGGGACTTATACTATCTAAGGTTATTAATCAAAAAGCTAAGAGGACAAGAAGTTTTGATAAAATTATAACAGTTAATGGTAAAATATATGTAGATTTCAAATCTTAATGATATGCTAGAGATTTACTAGATTGTAATTTTGAATGGCATGATGTAATGGATGAAGCTAAACAATGGGTTACACCTTATCAACTTGGACAACTATTTGTCTTATTGCAGATATAATTTGAAGTGAGCAGTCCTCTTAAATTATGAAACGTTGTTCGAAATCACTTGGTGAAGATAGATTTGTAAGACGACTTTCAAGTTTCAAAAACTACATCTAACAAAATATGAGCTACAACAATACATTTTGATTGTGATAGAGAAGGTAATTCACCTGTATGAACACTCCCTAACTAAGTTATTTATGTTTGCTAATTTCATCAAACTTTTGAATCGATACCGAGTATCTAACAATTAAAAAATCAAATGCATATGTGGTCAAGAGTTGTCCATAATTAATTTGTGCATGCGATATGACGGTTCACAAGAGACGCATCAACAGATTACAATCGAAAAAGAGTCAATACTCACAAAAAATCCAAGGCAAAATTCATAATCTCCATGAGATCTTAAAATCTAAAATAGTTCAACCGACGATTTTAAAAGTAGCCCGGAAACAGAATTAAGAGTTTGAGGTTCAAAAATCAATATTAAAGAAAAGGTGAACTAACTATTGTGAGGTAGATATCTGATTGGGGGATTGCAGATGAAGATTTTAGAAAGAAAATTGCGAGAACTGGAGATTGCGAAAGATAAGATATTTATTGGATGGCTGAGATTTTGGCCATAGTGTAGTAAGACGAATCATAGACTAACGAAATATTAATGAAGTGATAAGTAAATGTTGACTATACCATAACTATATTTTTTTATTGATGATATAAGAGGAAAGATAATAAGCTTACTAGCTTAGGAGAGTAGTCGAGAAGAAGATGACAAGTACAGAGAGAAATTCACATAATTATTGACAATTGCTAATCGATTTATATTTTAGACTTATGTTGTAGTTTTGTAATAAAAAAATTTCTTTGTAATTTAAACTGTTAGAGATTAAAACACTATAATTTTCCTTTTAATTAAATTTATATTATTATCAACAACAATATAGAAAAGATAATATTTCAATAAATATCATTAATTCAATATAATTTTCACCAAAATGTATAAAATAATTCTGTAACACCCGTTAAGTCGCGGATTCAAATCTACCAACAATTTAAAGTTAAGGTATTTTAAACTAAATTTAATTAAATGAAGTATTTTTTCCAACAAAAAACTATTGGGTATAAAACATCTAAATAAAAAATATATGAGGTTTTTTCAGGATTTTTTCCTAAAATAATAAATATCATCATTCATATATAATTTTCACCATAATATATCAAATACACCCCCGCGTAACGGGGGTTAATAACCTAGTTAATGTAAAAGATATTGCAATGCCCCATATTTTGTAGGAAAATAAAATCTTGTAGGAAACTAATTAATTAATAAGATTTAAAAAAAAAATCCATGTACATTAGTACTTGCTTCTTACCAAAAACAAAGTAAAAAATTTGTTTACATGTGGATTTGTTACGATTTCATGTAAGATTTTATCTGATTTATAAGATTTTTCTTTTAAAGAAAATATGAACCTGATTTTGGTATGCTTTAGTTACACAATTCTTCGTTAAAAAAAAAAATTGTTCATATCGTATCCACCTAATCACGGCCGTTGGATTAATGCGATATTCATTCACAGAAATATATTGGATTGGACGATCCTAATTTTTTATTTGATGAAACAACCAAATCCAAATCCAAATCCATGTGATTAGATAGAGTTTCCGATACGCAACTCAAGTTTCTTTTTTGGTAAGCACCGCTTACAAGCCCTATATATATATACTCTTGCTCATTATCTCTTTCATATTTCGATTTCGACATACACTGAAACCCTAGCCACATGATGATCAAGAACGAAGAGAAGATGAGAGTAAGGATTGCGAAGGAGAGATCTGACTTATGCGACTGGACTGCTGCTGCAATTAAGGCTACTTACAACACACGGAACCCATGCGAAGTCGAGAGATGCATCGATGTGTTGAAGCACTTGAAGTCTCTGTCTCTTTCCGCGAAGGATATAGAATTGTCTGAATCAATAGTTAAGCTGGAGACTTTGAGAAGCCATAGGAACCCTAGGATCCGTAAGGAAGCTCAAGCCTTGTTTCATTCATGGTTGAAGACATTCTACACACACGGAAGCGACAACTCTTTCGATGTTACCAAGGCTCGTTTGAAGACGAAGAAGCATGTTCTAACAAGGTGTTCGGAGTTGAAGATGAAGAAAGAAGATGAGAGATCATTAACTCGTGAAACAGAGAAGATTCAAGCAAGGAACAGCTTTTTGGCGTTGAAGCAGAAAGAGGATCATAAAGCTAAGGCTTGTGACGAGAAATATGTTAAGAAAGAGACAAAGACCAATCTAAAGCCGCTCAACGTGAAGACAAGACGTGTCGCTTTGGAGGATGTTACGACCAAGAAGCCACGTGAAGATGTACTAAGTTCTGGTTCATGTATAAAGAAGACTAAAACAGAAAAGGAGCTGAAGAAAAAGAAAGTGGATGAGATGGTGAAGTTGTTCGAAGCAGCAAAGAAAGCTGCTGATGTGGCCAATGCTAAGGGCGTTCTCTCAGGTAAAGCAGAGGCGTCTCGCTGCGTTGACGCTCTCTCGTTACTGATGGAAATCAATATTACTCCAAAACCAAAAGAACCAAGGAGGATGATGGATAAGCTTGAGGGACTTACAAAACATAAAGACCGCAAGATTTGCCATGCTGCATCAGCCCTTCTTCACCTTTGGAGACAGAGAATCAGAGAACAAGAACGTAAAGAGTCATCTACCAAGACGTTTGCTAACAACTTTCGTAAATCTCATTAGATATGTGCGGTCTAGTCATTTGTACGCATTGTATTGTTGAGTGATGAGCAAGTATACTAGTGGATTTCCGGGATGTTAATTACATCATCCCGGCGAGATGTAGGGTTCCACATTGGAACCTGAACTCGTAAAACTCTTTGTGTCTTTTACTTTTCTCTGCTTTGTTTTGTTACACACGAGAGAGATCGAGAGAGAAAGAAGTAGAGAACCAATCATGATGAGTGTCTCCAAAACAATCGTTCACATATACGAAGTTCAGATTATAAACCTCGCAATAGGGTTAAGGATTTTTAAACTTATCATCTTTATTGTGGATTTGGAGTATATATCCAGAATTCAGACGCGAGTTTTAATGTTGTAGCTTCTCTTTCCTATGTACCTCAAATAATCTGTGTTCATACTTCATGCACACGCAACGCAATCTATACACTAATAAAAAATGTTATAATGATGGGCATGGGTTTACAAATCTATATATAATAGCAATATCAATAAAAACCTTTTGCACCTCTGAACGGTTGCGTCTTTTTTCGCAACTTTCCGTTTAAACATTTACGATTATTTTTTTACGGTTGTGTCTTTTTATCGCATCTCTTTGTTAACATATTTACGGTTTTTTTTACAGTTATATTTGTTCAACTACAGTCGTATCTTTTCAGTATATCGTTGTGTCTTTATAATTGCATATATTCATTTAATGTTACGTATATATTTAAATTTTGGTTATTTAACTAAAATATATATTTTACGGTTGTTTTATTCAAAAAGTTGCAATCGGAATAAATATTTTCTACGGTTGCATTTATTTATCGTAACACCTCATAAACAATTGCGATTGTTTAGTTGAACCATTGCAACATTTACTTTATTTAACGAACAATTTTAATTTTTGATTCATTTTATAAATCATTAAAATATTTAATTTTTTAAATTAACTGTTTCTCTCGCAACATCTCCAATACTCTGGTCGCTTCATCATACTTCCCTTTTCTACGGTTGCATTTTTTTATCGTAACTTTTCGTAAACGGTTGCAACCGTTTAGTTGAACCATTGTAACATTTAATTTATTGCACAAACAAATACAACTCTTGGTTTATTTTATAAACCATTAATTATCTACAATCATGTCTTTCGGTGTAACTTTTTATAAACTATTATTTGAAATTTAGTTACTAAAATGTATTTAAATAAAATTGTAACCGTTTAATTGAACCATTGCAACAAATTTAATGTGCTATAATCTTAATTATTTTATCAGATTTGGTTATTCACCTAAATCACTCAATCTAATTTTCGCACCCAAAAAAAAAAAAAAATATAGATATCTAAATATCAAATTGAAACCAAAATCATTACAAATTGTTCGGTACAATTTTGGTTTGTACGGTTTGATTTGTTTCTGGAGCAAGAAATTGAGACTGAACAGAGAAAGAGAAGTACTGGTGAGATTATACAAGGAAAAGACTGCTAGAAAACTTGTGATTGAAGGAATTGGAGAAGCTGCTCATATCAGAGTCTTTTTCGATTATGTAGAGAGTCATATGGTTCTGTCAAAGGTAAGTTAATTTGTTCTTGTCTAGTTCGTTTGGTGTTGCCAGACCTTTCTCTTGTTAAGTTCCATTTCAGTTCCCGGATTGTAGTATAGTTTAAGACTCTTCCTTATTATTGGAATTGAGACATTTTTTTTACATATTCGTCAAGTCTTTTTTTGGTCAATATGGTTTTGTATGCTTTAGGATTATGCAGATGCAATGCTTATGACTTAATGCAATGCTTATGACTTAATAAAAATAACTTCTTCTAATTTTGTTTGGATCTTACAAGCTTATGGGTTCTAGTTTTGAAAATTGTTATAACAAAATTTATGTTAATTAATTTTGTTAATAATTTATGTTTAATTTTTTGTGAGTTATTATGTAGTTAATAAATTTAGATCTATCTAATGTAATTGTAATTTTTAGAATATCACTATCACTAATAGCCTCGACTTTTATACGGTATAGATTTAGAGAGAAAAAAGTGTTTTGTGTTGGCTAGACGGACCTTCATCGATTGATTCGTAAGCCATGAGAAGTTTTTCCATACATCGTTAAATTAGCCCGGATTAGCTCCTAGTGAAACCAAATAGAAAATACTTTACCAAGAAAAAAGCTATAGTTTAACTAAAACCAAATGTAACCACACCAACAATAATTGAAACAACGAAACGAAACAACACAAACATTTATATATATAATATATTCAAAACAAAAACATGCGACTAGTACATACTTTCTATTTTTAATATTTTTTTATCAAAGTTTTTGTAAGAAAAACGAAAATCTTAATGCATGTAGGTTTTTAAAAGAATACATATATTTAATGTATTTTTTATAAAACCAAAATCTTAATTTAGATTTTTTAAGAAAAAAGGAAAGGTATTGAAACACAATTAGTTTATTACAGCAACGGTTTTATTTATTTTCGTGGCCGAAATTCAATCAAAATCGAATTGATGTATAAATCGAAGACTTCCCTAAATGTTTTTTTTTCTTATCCTAATTTCATATTGAAACTCTAAATGAGCTCCAACGTTCAGCTTTTTCCTGTCAATTGAACATGATCGATTATTCGGCTTTCAGAAATTCACAATCTATTTTTTTCGATTGATTTGAACACATAATCAATCTTTAGGTTCATTGATCTATGATGCTTCTTCTTTCTCCATAAATAGTATAAATATTATTGGGAATCGGATTTCATGAGATTCTCAGAGCTTGTTGCTTGTTTGTTTCTTATCATATTCACAAGGACCGCGCAAGGTAAAATCGAATTGAAATCCTCTCAATTGAACATTGATCAGGATTAGGACCAAAGTCTTCATCTGTTTTTTGTAGTACATTTTTTTCAATTTGGTCTATTGTAAGTCTTGCTAAATCTTAATATATTTTTCGTAATTTGTTTATCGAAAAAGATTTGTTTCTTCTTGGTTGATCTAAACATAGAATCAATCTCTAGGCTCAGTGATATGTGATGATTCTTTTACCACATTTTCATTGTCTACTTTACTCCATATTTGCACTTTCACTTTGTAAAGAATAATGCATGATCTGCGTTTGGATGAATACGAAATATATTGATTCTTCTTCTATAATCTTTATATTTTCTTCTGTAATCTTATTTATACTCTTTTTAGCATGGATTCATATATGATCCATATCTAAGTATATACTTGTTTGACTGCCTATTCAGAGATGTCTTGAGCACCATTATTGTTGATAAAATAAATAAACAAAACAACATAGTCAAATGAAATTAAAAGAATGTAGCGGATGAGTTAAAAGACATAAGGACAAGAGAGAAATCCAATGACTCACCTCGTGCATACAACAATCCTAGTATTGTAAACCAACAATTCAGCCCAAAGACTACTATTTGTAAAAGGAGAATAAAAAGATCCAACAACTTGCGCTTTAATAGCACCTTTGTAGTACTCCACAACATCAGAAAAATGATCACGGTCTACAATTAAAAGCGGTTGGCATTCTCCACGGTTGACGTTATGGCATCTATCTTAGAAACACTAGAGAAAAATGGGCGGAGAGAAGGAAAATATAAACCAATTTGATAGGTCTAATATTGGTGGTGTTAAAATATAATAAAACGAGGATTTAACCCGTATTGAAGCTTTTTTATTAATGTTGATTCATACCATGCCCGCCATATAACCCCGTCTCGCAATATAATTTGTCTCATGTTATTTAATTTTTTATATATATTCAAATATTCATAATACTATAAAATTTTTATTAATTTTCAATATATCAATTATAATATTTAAAGTTTAAAAGTTTACTATATCCGGTAAAATGAAACAGTTTAACTAAAAAATCCAAATTATACCGTATTACAAACTTTTCAATTTGGATGCTTGTTAAGTTAAGCTTCATGCCCATTCCGATTTGGATTTATTTTAATGTTATTTATAATATGACTCTGAATCATTGTCTAAACATTTTAGCCGATGTGGGACGTTGAACACATGCTTTTTCATTAATTGAATAATATATGTCTGTTTTTTAAATTTTGAATCACTATACATAGGAAAAAAAATTGAGATTTTTTTTCTAAACTTTATGTCTGTTTATGATAATTCAAAACAATTTAAAAAAATCAAACAAAAATGATAGAGAAATTATAATTTTAAATTTTAACCAAATATTCTAAATATCTATATTATTAATTGTGAAACATTATATGAATATTTTTTATTTTATAATTAATGTTAAAAATCTTTTAACTTTGTTTGGTTATATATATAGTAGAGAATTAATGATAAAGTTGTTTGGATACATGATATAAGTGATGACATTTCTTGTAATAAGTGATGACATTTCTTGCATATTTGTTTTAATATAAAAATTTTAGTATGTATAGTTTATGAAAAATATTTTACTTAAAATTAACGGTTTTTATAATATAAATATTTCATCCGCACTGTCTGATCTGCTTTTACTATTCAACATATATTTAAAAGCGTTCGAACCGCTTGATCCGCATTTGTACTGCTAGATCCATTTGATCCGCTTTTGTTCTGCTTGATACGTTTGATCCGTTCCGCCCGATATGCTTTCTCAATTAGGAGCGTTAGCTATTTTGTTTCGTTGACATGAAACATGGGAACAACAAAACTCCTTGGAAGTCCAACGAAAAAATAATTAAAAAAAAAATTCGTTGGAAGTCCGAAGTCCAAATGTACTATCTAATGTGCCCTTGTCTTATAGATAATTATCATTTGCAATTATACAATCTTAAATACTAAACAATACAAACAATACTAACAAAACAAATATAAAGTAGAATTAGTTTTGTGTTATTGATTTGTTTTTCCAGCTTTTGAATGGTTTTGAAAAGTTGTCTCTATTTCTTTCTTTGGCTTTTCGCAAGTATCTCTTTCACTCTTCCACTTACATGGTTTTGAATTGCTTTTGCTTAAGACTGACTAAAAACTAGTTTTGTTAATTGCTTTTGCTTAAGATTTTGTGATAGTGTTCAATCATTTGTATTTTGTTCAAATCTTATTCTAGTGATGTTTGCTTGAAACTTATAACACTGAGAATTTGTGTGGATCATTTTTGTTTATGAATCAATAAACTTAGGTTAGTTTGTTTTTAGTAGAGCTTGTAATTACTTGTGTTTTGTTTATTTTTGGATATGTATGCTGCTTGGTACGGATGGAGCCACAATAGATTAATTTTAATACTGCTAAGAAAATATATAAATAGATTAATGAATTTTTTTCTGTAAATTTAGACTGATTTCTTACAAAACTTATATCCATGATATTGTGTATTGTTATTATGATTTTTGGAGTTTATGTTTTGTAATAATGTTGGTTCTCAACCAAACAAACAAAGTTTTAACCAAAAGCAGTTAGATGGATCATCCAGATGAACCACCAAAAATGGAAACACACATTATTCAGATGGATTAGCCAGATAGATCATTTGGATGCATATCCCAAATGAGCAAACGAAGAACCCCTAAGTAGGGACATTACTTCATCTCTTTTGTTTGATATTCAGAGTTTAACCTCTTCTTGTTAATCTTAATTTGAATTGATCAGATGATGTTTTTGTGTATTTTGATTAATATAAACTCAGAAAATACATGTAGTAACCAGAATTAATCGGAAATAACCGAATTAATCGGTTAGTTACGATAAGATTTCAAAACCGGAAAAAACCGAATACCGAACCGATCCGAACTGTAATTAATTTCGGTTAGTTTCGACAAGATTTACAATAACAGAACAAACCGAAAAACCAAAAAATCCGCACCGAACCGGACCGAAAAACCGAACTGGCAGGCCTAGTCCAAACCAAAGATAAGCTTTCTCTATTTATCGAATTTGTCCCCAATTGAACCCAAACCGAATAATTTATTCGGTTTAATTTATACGGTTCACTCGAACCGGCATATCCAGTTCATAGAGAGGGTTTACGGAGGTTTTGGTGGAATTGCAGAAAGCAGTAGAAGAAAGAATCGGAGAAAATGGCTGCAATTGGGATCGCTTCTAGGTCTACTACATTCATGAGATCCATCCATAGAACCGCTGCTACACGAAATTTGATCTCATCCAGATCTAAACCCTCCGTCCCAAACCCTAATTTCACTTCCCCGCGCTTCAACACTTCTTCTCGCATCGAAGGCTCTGTTCCCAGGTAAAACTTCCTTCATCCTCTTTCGATGTAAATCTGCTTGATTTGTGTTAGTTGTTTGATGTTTGTGATGCCCTTGATTGAAATTTTTGATTTTTGATTTGGAATCTGAAAGGTTTCTACGGAGAGAATTAAGCACACAACAACCATTTCACAGCCTCGTTGCTGCAGCTTGCCTTGTTTCGAAACTTCCTTCTGATGTCACTTCTTATGAAGGTAAGTAAATGCCAAAACTTGCTTTGGATTAGTTTATTGTGTTCGTTGGGTTTGGGTTAGCTACTCTTTAGTTATTGAGTTCCTGCAAAAGATTCATATGTGGATGTGTGGGGTGTTTTGATTTTCTTTAGGATGTGGTTTAGTTCATTGAAAGATACCCAATATCCTTATTTTAGCATCTCCTGAACCTTGGTTGTGGAAAGATTCATGCTTTACACATTGCTCCTTTAGATTCATGCTAACAACTTTCTATCTTTGATGACATTGACAACAGGTAGATTTGCAAACTATCTCAGTCCCATCTAGTACCAGCACTTGAAGTAGATGGGGTGACTTAACATCCCGGGGATTGTTTTGCGCTAAGTTTGATGTTTTCAAGGAAATTCAGGTTCTTAAGTTCAATCTGTCAACCGTATTTGCAATCTCTCAGACTCAGTTTAGATTACATTTTTTGGCAGATGTTACTACTTCCATTTAGTTTTACTTGGGTTTGTATCTTATTAATCAAATGATGATTCAACCATAGTTATTGTCAGAATGTAAGATAAGTTCTCTCGGATTCATCTACTCTTTTGAATTAGAGAATAAGATTGTTTGCGCGGGACGAGACCTTTTCGTTTCTTATCTATTTCATTATGTTCCTTGACCTTGTTTTTGATTCAAATAATGGAATTGTTAAAGCTTCTGCGCATCTATGTTAAGTAGTTTCATAGAGATTCGTAATAAAGAACAATCTATAGAAGGCTCCTAGTAGAATTCATATATCATGGAAATATGTGTGCTTGGCTTTATAAGTTCTGTTCTCAAAATAGCTCCACTTTGCTGTTAGTTTCCAAGGCATGAACATAGTTAGGAAACTGTGAGTAGTGGTACTTCTTAAAGGAACACCATATTGACAAAACTTATGTTTATTTTTTCTAATGACTCTTGTGATTGCGTTTATCGTGTCATTGCGTATATATTGTCCTTGCGTGTATCGTTTATTTGGTCTGTCCATCCATGAGAAGACATTGATATGTTATTGGCTTCATCTCTCTTCAAGTAGGCATGAGTAGAGAGATTTTCCAAATGATTTGTTGAGAGAGACTTATTACCACACAAAACGTTTTTAAGACGTGAAAGTAGGTATATTCGTATGGGTTGTTGCAGAAAGTTACAAAACTAGATACACAATGATGATGATATTTGCAGGCTCTAGTTTTGGTATGAGTCTTCCACAAAATTAATATGGAAGTTTCTTTGGGGACCCAATTTGATACCAAAAACAAGAAGAAGAGTCTTTGTTATGATTATTGAATAAAGCACTTCAGTTCGTTTTCCTTTTCTTTTGCCATTTTCTACATACTAAGCCAAAGAAACAGCTTCTCTTCTTCTGTTTTTCTATTTTTGCACTTTGGCCAAAAACTTAGAGAATCGTCTAAACCAAATCTGATTTTCTATTTTCTGTTTTTCTTAGATGCTCTAATATGTTGGAGATTTAGATTCTGATTGATTTGGATGCTAAATGTAGAAATTAGTCTGTAGAATTTTATCCGTAGCTTCAAATTTGGTTTGCTATGGTAAAAAAACCTACAACATTTATAGACTTAAAATGAAAACGAAATATGAACAAACAAAGAAAATTTGATAGTAGACCAAAATGTTCAAGCAGTTTATTTGGCAGTCCAGTAACAGGCGATCTGGCTACCTCCTGACATTAGTCGGAAACCATTCCAAATTCGGGACAGACAGTGTGGTGGTCCTTCAGAGAGTTTCTACTGGGGCTGACCGGATCAGCCGATAAGGTTTATCAAAAAAAAAAGAAAAAAATGATTGTAGAGGTTATGAATTTTGAGTGGACCAATCTTAAGCTTGTATGGTAACAAAAGTAATGTTTTAACTATGTAAAAGCTGTACAAAAACTCTAAAACTACCAATCACACTCTTAGTCATTGCAGTTCTTTAATAACATATGATGGATTTTATAATTGTAGATATTGTTATTTCCGTTGATATTAACGAGAAATTGTTTTTCTTTTTGATGTTAGTAACTTTTTACGTTCGATGATGTAATATGAATAAAAATGTGCAAGACATCATTGAGAAAGTTATTTTTTTGGGTTATACCAATTTAGAAAATTAAAATAGAGATTATGATAAACTTTATAAAGTAATGGAGAAATAAACAGTTGTTTAATTTGTAGAAAAATACCAAAATCTGAATAGTGTAATTTTCATGTGGGTGTGTCTGTTAAGTGCTCCCACCAAACTTCGTGTTTCCGACCTAAATATATAAAAAAGATTTTGACAAAATCACTTTGTAATATTAATTTTCGAAATGTCAACTTTGTCTCATGAGAAAGTGATTAGCTAACAAACTTTCAACAAACCCTACAAATCTATTTTCTCATATATATGTACACATGTCTGACAAATGACAAATCATCAATTTAATATTTTTCTTAAATCATACTAAGACACTAGTGCTTTTCATTTTTGTAGTGATTAAAAAGGCAAATTCTGGTTATTATTGTTAATTGCTCCTAATCTCTGAATCTGAGAGGTAGTTGTACATATAAGACTAATGACAACAAAGCAGCTTATAATAAATCAAAATCCTCATATTTTGGTACCTCAAATTCAGCTTAAGTAATGTTAAACAAAGTTTTGCTTTTGACATTATCCCTAAACGACGCCGTTGATCAAGGCCATATGGTTCTCTGATCCTTCACGTAGTAGCTCTTTGTTTTTTTGGAAAATAAGAAAAAAGATTTATAACCTGACCCAACTTAGTTTAATTATGTCGTATTTTTTCTGACTTAAATTCTAGAATTAGAATTCGGATCTCTTGAATGATCTTTAATGTTTTATTCATTTTAGTATAGTATTTGTGGGTATTAAAGTTTGTGGATTGTGTCCAAACCGTTTATACAATATATGATGGATTGGGATATTTACTTTGAAAGAGAAAAAAATGATTCTACTAAATTAAGTTTGCAATCATACAGACCGACCCATAAATTTAATATTTGAGTTGTTAGTATTTTTATTTATATGATCATATTACAAATTTATCATACTCTAGATGGTTAGGTGAAGAAGATATATTTGATATTTTTTATGTAGAAATGATTTTTGTTTTTGTCACATGTAGAAATGATTTAAAGTATGAAGAACATATAAATTTCAATATGATACGGACATAAGATACATAGAAAAATATATAAAAAAGATTACGAGGCATCCTTTTTTTGGGGGATAAATTACACTTTTCATATCAAAATTAAGATTTGACTATGTTACCATTTTACTATGCAATACACAATGATATAACACACACACACACGAACTATTATCCACTCTTAGATCTTCTCCACTTCTTCATCTAACCCTTTTCATTTTTCGAATCCCGACTAGCAGTTTTCGTCCTTCTTTGAATGGACTGAGCCTAAACCATTCTCTGAATCCGCCTTAACGGATCAATATTTCATCCGAGTAACAGTTAAGCCGGTTTAACATTTAGTAAACAAATTCAATATCTAACACTTAGTCAAAACTTCAGCTATCCATGACTCTAACGATTTCAAGAGTTTCGAACACTTGAAATCATTCCTCTCATAATCTCATAAGCCGCTTGATAATAAGTTGAAGTTCTTTCGTTTATTACCAAGCAAAACTTCAGCTTAGTAAGTTCTTACACCGGTTTTGCTTTCGTTTTTGTAGTGTTTTATAAATAACCCTTTTATGATTCCACTTCTCTGGGCATTGATTGCTTTGAAGTTATACAAACTCATATGTTTTGTTTTCACCTATGAAAAATTTAGTAGACTTTGTTGTTATGTAATGTTTTTACCAATTTCCTCACTTTTTTTGGATTTACTCTAGCTCTAAGATAGAAAAGTGAAGTCCTCTCTCAGTTCCTTCACTTTTTGCAAAGTATGTTCAAAGCAATTATTAAATCACGCCAGTGCAATAACGATTCGGATCGATAATGCATATCAAACACACTTCTTTTTCAAGCTAATCTACCATACACATTTTTGATAACAACTCTTTGCACGAGTGTTCATATTTGATCTTCTCTTTTTGATATTTTTCTTTCTCAAATTAATTTTCCATTTTTATACATATTTTCATAAAAGTATATATTTTATTCTGCGAATGCATGTATTCAATATTATACATAAGAAAATCTACTCTTCAAAATAATTGTTTAATTCAAAGGTTCGTGTAGAAATTGTTTTCTAGATGTTTTGAGTTTTGATCTCATAGTTACTTTTAAGATATCATTTAAAATTATACATAAGGAACATTGAGCTTATATGTGTCTAACGAAAATTAAGTTACTAATCTTACCCGATAACAGGTGCTTACTTTTTCTAATATGAATTAATCTGTGACTACAACTATTTTATGATGTAATTAGTAACTTACTCAAGAGTTGCAATGTGATAGAATGAGAATGCTTGTGTAGTTCTGAATTAAATGATGGTTCCTTTGTGGGACACTACTCAAAACCCTCACAAGTGGATAGGGGACCTTTCAATAAAAATGTTTGTACATTGTAGGGTTTGCTGTCGATGTTCCCAATTCATTTCACAATTGTCTTTAATGTTCCTATCCATTTGAGTCTTGTTTTAGCAGCCTTAATGTTCATACCCATTTGCCCAAGATATTAACTCTTTCATGTCGACTTTCTAAGAAATTCAAATCACCTAGACTAAACCGAAATCACAAACCGAAGTCGATTGAGATCATCAACATAACCTTTTATCTGTTTTCAGCCAGCCCAAGCGCCATGCAATTTTCAATTTGCCTTCTTTTTTTTTTAATCAACAACATGTGAGTTTGAATATAAGTAGTGACGCAACAACGACACTAACACAAACTATTAGGTTACATATATAGTCACTAAACTTTTTGTTTCAACTTGTGAAAATATACCCCCATTCATCTTACTGGATATTGGTAATTGATGCTGACATTTGGTATTGTTAAAAGAAATCATATGTAATGCTGTTGTTATCATTACAAAGGCAAGCTTTGTTCATCATCCTTTTACCCCAAAGCTTCTTCTCCCTTTTCGGTTTATCGAATTCTTAATCAGGCCAATTTTATCTTCTTCTTATTAAATTATAAATGGGGGCCATATATATGTCTAAATTAATAATATTTAAGTTTGTAAAAAAGTCTTAAACCACTCCAATGCTACAAAAACAAAAAAAGCAAGTAGGAGAATAGACTCATGGGATCGAATTGATTTCGACGTACCTTCTTATCACATGCAGCCACATGACATTTCTATTTTGTTTCTCAAGTTTTATGAACCCAATAGCATTGACCTCTCAATTTAATGTAATTTCTCTTCACTGCATCTATACCAATTGAATACACTTTGTATGTATATTCACTAAGTTCATTATGATTTTATAATGTCAAATATATAAATACCAAATCATCCTTCTCTTAACTAGGTCAACGGCTTGTAGAATAACTTGACTTGGGCACATAATCACGTAATTAAGAACTTTCCCGGCAATGAACTACTCTAAGTCCCTACGAACACGACGACGTTTGAACAAGAGATGACATATTGATTTAATAATAAGTATGGGAAAACGTTTTCTTTTTTGATAAAAAATAAA